TATGAGTTCTATCCTAAATCAAAGTTTTCTACAACAAAATGAAGAGAATGTGTTAAATCATAAATAATTGATGACATGTTTTTTATTTGCATTTGACACATTTGCTTACCCCTTCCAAAACTGTAGGGCTTCCTGAAATTAATTTAAATGCCAAATATGATTTTTGTAAATTTTAATTTATTGTTTCCTTCAAGCAAGCAAGAACATTCTCAAATTGCCTATTATATAACACATAACTTCAATTAATATGCAAATGAGCATGAATAATATACTTATTTAAATGCATCCATTATATAGATGCAATTAACTTCCTTTCTCTTTAGGGGGGAAACAGAAATTAGAAATATTACGTGATAGTCATGGTGGCTGGAAGAAGGGAGAAGAAAGTGCATGATTAGGAGCGGTTTACACCTTATTTACATGAAAAAGGGACCAATGCAGTCATCAAAAGACCAAGAAAGAGCCAGGAATCAGTTAATAATGTCTTCAGAGGTTATAACAGAAGTAGAAGTGAGTTCACAAAAGAATTCAACAGGAGCAGATGGAGAGATGAACGAACCCAGAAGAAAATTGACAAGGAGTACAGGAGATCCAAGAAGGCAGGAAGCAATCATGGAGAGTCATGAACCATATAACAAAGGAGAAAGGAGAGATTAAGGATTATGAAGGGGAAATAAAGATGAGAACATGACACTGACAGGATGAGGAGGAAACTCTGAGATTAGACGAAGGTGTAGTGGATGATTGAGTGAGTGGTTTGGTGAAAACAGAGAAACTACAAACATAAACGTAAACACAGGCCTGGCAGAATTTTACTTATTACCTGCTTTTTTTTGTCAAATTGCAGTACTATGTGAACAAGCAGCAGAATTATGCTTAAGAAATAGACAAAACTGTTTTGTTATCATGGCCAGAATACAAAAATAACTGCTCTCTGACACTGGAAGGTCAAATGATTGAGGAGATTTCATGCATCTAAAGAGATACACCGCAGGGTCAAGATCTAATCAGAATTCATGAGCAATATGTGAAAGCCCACCTCTGTAACAAAAGCTCTGGTGATGTGCAATGTGAGATGGATTAAAGATGAGTCTCGATTCTCATCTTAGTATTGGTCAGTTAACAATTTAATAGCGGACTGGGATAAATTATGCATGTTGAGGTAAAATAGCGCATCTTCATGGGGCCGTCATGTAAATGCATCTTTATTTCAAATATATTCCATATTTGGCCAATAAAAGGTTAAACACAATTTTCCTTTATCCTCAATTAACCTTTTTTCAGTGTCTGAACTGTTGTTAAGAAAACAGTTTCAGTTATCATTCCGGATTGTGTTGTTATGGGTGTCCCTGCAGGATACGTATTTGATATTTTTATAGAGATATTTAAAATATTTTTTCAGCTCAGCAGCAAGGTGCAATTGCTTGTGGCTGCCTTGTCACGCTGAGATAAAACAAGGACAGATTGTCATAAACATTCATTTCCAAGACATCTGTCCTGAAAGGAGGCTTGATTTGAATTTACTGACCAATAAGCCTGTGAAATGCCCATCCTCCTGTAGACATTTTGAGAGCTGTGAATGATCGATCCATTTGTTGTCTTAGATAAAAGAAGAAAATTAAGCAGTATTCTACTTGTATTCTTTTGCTTCTTGTCATTCAGCTGCGTATGGATCTGCAGCAACAGTAAAAACATCATCAATCTGTATTTTGCCATTCCTAAAATGCAAATTATTAATTTTTATAATTTACTGAAAAATTACATTTTATATTTAAAAGTATCTCCAGGCATAAAGATAAACAGTAAAAAGCAGTAATTTTATACCAATGCCAAACGAACTGAAATGTCTAAAGTGAATTTTCATTAAAAATGTACTTTTTAAGTAAATTTTCTGTAAAATTAATCCAACACATCTACTCTAGCAGCATTTTCACAATTCTATTCGAACTTTATTATTGTTGCTTATAAGAATGATTCAAATGAATGATACAGGGAGGGATATAACTAATTGATGATGTGATTTTGAACATTTTCCTAAATATGCATCAGTCTGGGTGCCACAGTGGCACAGTGGGTAGCGCTGTGGCCTTTCACTTAGAGAGTGACCTTTCTGGAAGGAGTTTGCATGTTTTTCTCCGTATTACCCAGGTAGGTTCCCCCACAAACCCCAAAACAAGCGTCAACATTTCCCTATTGTGAAGGTGTGAATGTGTGTGTTGTCCTGCGATGAACTGGCGACCTGTCCAGGGTGTACCCCCGCTTCTCGCGTGAAGTAAGCTGGAGATAGGTGGAGTTGATAAAAAATGTCTTGGTGAGGGTTCCGATGATACACATTTTGGTGTTGATTAATGGTTTCAAGGCAGCAAGTTATCAAGAAAACAAATCACGATATGTGGATTCAGAGGAAAAGCTGAGAAATATTTAGCACAATCCTAGCATTGCCAATCCACTCAGAGGAGAACTAGTGAAAGTGTGATGAGACTAAAATCAAAGCATCAACTAAACTCAAGGTGCAGGAAGGCTGCCAATGAGTGCAAAAACATAATCCTGTAAATCATACATTCTGGACATACGTATATCATAAATAAAAAAAATGTTGTCCAACAGCATCAGACAACAGCACAAATCAAAGAGACAAATGACGAGGTTTGAGTGGTCACAATACTGCCTTGAAACCCAATGAAAGGGATCAGAATCACTGAAAGCTGATTCTCTGCAACTCTAAACAGGGATTTTGCCACCAAGTACCATGTTTGGAGAAGAGTTGTAATTTTTGTGATGGGAATATTTATTTCAAAACTTTTTCAAAATCAGCAGGGTTCCAATATTGACTTCCTCTCACTGCGCTTAAAGTACTATAAACACATAATGCATTTTGAAGGATTATAGTGAGGATTATGATCAACAAATTGTATGAAGCATAAACTAATGAAATCCAATCATAAACTGAAACATGATACAGAGTTTGGCTATACCTCACCCAGCTTTAAATCTCCTACAAAGCTGGGTGAGGTACAGCCAAATTCTGCTACCAAGGTGAGGGTGAGAAGGACAGTTTTCTGGCATAGCAAGATTGATAATACATTGACAAGGTCTCTCCAAACAACGATTTCAAAGCAGATTGGGGATTCTAGATGTGTGGTTCAAGCTCTTTTGAAAATGCACAAAGAAATGAGCTACGTCGAGATATTGATGATATAGTGTTCAGCCAAGATAACATGCTGCAGACATGGCGATGACCCCAAACATTCAGTCAAAGTCTTAATACACAGATCAATTCTGTGTAGTTTAATTTTTTTCTTTATTGAAAAGACTGGATCCTAATTATTTTAGGCCCCCACGCGGGATTTGTTGGACAAGGAACAGATGTTGTTTACTGCACAAGATGAATAAGACCCAAGAGTTGACAATTAAATTAATTACACTTGAAAACTGGCAGTTCAACCAAGGTTTAGGATCATTGCTTTTTTCAAAACTCCAGATGCCAGCGTGGACTTTGACTTGAGCTCCTTATTGTTCCATTTCTTTTTCAGAACCAGATAAAAGACAGCATGGGAACTGTTATATAAAGTGCATGCCTCCTCAAATCTCTCACTTTGTTAACAGTTCAAACATGCCCTGAGTGCTATTAACATCAAATCAGCACTTCTCTTTTGGAAAGTGTCAGCATTTATCGGGATGGGCTGAACAAACTGATGCATGTTCCTCTTTTATCCGTCTCTTGACTTTCATCTCCCTGTATGTGTGGAGTTATTCTCCATGCACACTAATTGAGGATGTGTTTGATGTCCGGTAGGTATCTCTACTCCTGATCAGAAGAACGAGTGACCTTCTGTTAGATCAGGGGTATTGTGATGTGCAATATATGACTTTATTTCTTTTTTTGTTGTTTAATAGAAGAAGAACTGATGGGATGAATGTCTTATTTAAAAAGTTTTTTTTTTTATTATACAAAGATGTGCTGGGGCTGGAAGTGGGGTTTTGGTGCTCAGAAAAAACTACATTATGTGAGAGCAGAGTGATAAATTGACAGATCCGCAGTAAAAATGAAATCAGTTAAATCTACAGTATTGTGCAAAAGTTTTAGGCATGAATGCTATTATAAATATAAATAACTCTTGTGTCAACAAAAAGACTCAAACCATCTTACTTTGTATTCGAACCAGCATCAATTTTTATAGGTTCACTTGCACAAACAGGTGTGAATGATCATCAGTGTCACACATTTTTAATCCCAGGCTTGAACTGGAATGTGTTGGAGGCTTAAAACTGAACAGGTTAAACCAAGAAACTCTGCAACCAACTTGATGTTGAGAAAGACTATTTCTTGACATGTCAAGATTTAGTACAGCAACAAGAAAAAGAAAAGATTTTAAAAACAAGAGTTTAAAACAATACACTTCTATTCCTCTTATTGTCACTGGAAGAAGAACACAGGATCAGAAATGTATAAATGTCACATCCTTTGACAGGAATGGTACTCAGTGTTAAAATATTTCTCTGGAACAGCGGAAAGGGGCCAGAAACCAGAGAACCCACAATGACTTTGGTGGAGACAAAAGCAGTAGAGGTGAGTTGCGGGTGAGTAGTCAGACTGGAGTATTCCACCGGAGCAGATGAAGAGATATGGCTAAACCCAGAAGAGACACAGAGTAGACGCAGAGATCCAAGAAGACTAGGAGCTATCATGGAGAATCGGGATGTGTGAACCATGGATCTGACAACTGAGGAGCCTTTTAACAGAGGAAGTGGATTGGAGGAGTGTTCTGATTGGGTGACTGATTCAGTTGGGTGATTATCTGAAGGTGTATTGAGTGCAGTTCTTGACACTGACACCTACCTGCTAAATATTGGTTTGGGTGATGGAATTCTCCGGATTCTCCCTGTGGTGATCTCCAGTTCCCACTTGGTGAAAGGCAGGATGGATCTGAATGTGGAACACTTGAGGGTAACATATAGCATGGTTTTACATTTACATACACATTTTTGTCAGTTCTTGATTTCCCTTGGATTTGAACCCTTGGCCTTTGTTATGTTAGTGCAATGCTCCACCAACTGAGCCACAGTAAAGATATCTATGATATCAATAAGCATAACATAACAATTTGAATATGACATTACTTCAATAAATTATTGTTTAATTAAATCTAAATTACTATACAGGTAGCTTCAACATTTACATTTCACCAATTGTAGTCACCTTTAATCATTTGTAGGGCGGACAAATAAAAAATGATACATTTAAGTAATAAAAGTTCAACCATATTGTAATAACCTCCAGTAATGCTTTAGTGATGTTCCCTTTAATAATTCAGTGAGTTGCCTATAAAGGGTTAATTTCATATTACATTGCATTTTCAAACTCTGTTTGGTATTTATAGTCAGCTTGTATTCATTGGCTCTCTTGAAAGACCTCCATTTGACATGAAGTGTTAAAAACTGGCCTTGCACTTCTCAAATGGTAACTGCAACAGAATTATTTGACAGGCCATGACTTACGATTACAGAGAAAATGAATTTCGTTCACAATAGTACCGGATGCACACTGAAAGAGAACTTAAAGTAGACAGACATTTGCTTTCACAAAGCAATTAAAACAGACTGGTTAAACCACGAACCAACGCAAGATTAAATGTTAAGTTACGTGTATGAAGACATAAAAAAAAATTAATTGGATTAAAAAAAAAAATCAATGCTTGCACGAAAGGTTATCTATGGTGTCACAGACCTGAAGTCGGGATGGTGTCATGGAAACTCGGGGTAATTGTGCAGAAATGATATGTTCCTGCAGCATTTCAGAGAGGTTTGTGTACACTTGAGGGATACAAAAAAAAAAAACTTCTCAATCTCTAAAGATGTATGGCAACTCTCAAATGTCAAGCTTATTATAAAATCAATGTCTATAATTTTAGAAGAATGTGCATTTGTTCTTTTGTCAGACTCCGTGTGCTGCACTGCATAAACAATCCCATTAAACCCTTTTCCCCCAAAATAAATCCTTTTGCCGTAAAACTTAGAAATCTTTTAAATCTTTTTATGCATAATGCATTAAAGATTTGATATGGTTCTTATAACAGCAGCCCCAAATCTAACCCCAATCAGAACTGTATTGGAAATCTATTCCAGATTCTATTCTTAAAAAAGGTTTGAGAGTTGTAGGCTTGAGAGTGAGGATTAACAATAAAGTATATTCAGCAAGCGTTGATTGACTCCATTAAATTGAATTTAGAGCTAAAAATACCTTCTTGCAACATACGGTCAATGTATAATTTTACATGTCCTTACATCTTGCAATAGCTCTTCAGAAGAAACAAAGCTCAGATTAACACTTTGAATATGCATCTAACTTGTATTATTTATGAATTATCTATTCCTTTGTTGAGATTAATTTATTTTCTGTACTGTATATTTAAGCGTAGAAGGTGTTTAATGGTGTCAGATCTCCAGCTAGCCACTGCCAATGATATAATGCCATTCTGAGGCCATTATCACCTCATCCAAGTCAGAATGTTTTACTCCACATATATTCCCACATTTTACTCCACATACTGCTCTCCGGGTAAGAGCAGTAAGGCCAGTAGGTTAGTAGGTCATATCATCCAATTTTAACATAGATAACATGTTTATAAGTGCTCCCGTTATCTTGAAACACTTTTAGTTAAACATATATCTCTTGTTTTGACACTTTTCTTAGTATACTAAAACTAAACTTTACCATAAACTCAACTGGCAAGTGTGACTGGTGTAGTAGACAGAACTCAGTCACAGAGAAAACTTGAAAACTGAAGGCGTTTCCAAAGAGAAAACGAAAAAGGCTCTGCCAAATAAAGTGTATTACCAATAATATGATTATAGTAGTCTCTCAGCCTTCAGACCCTCACAGAGAGTTTTACCAATTGTTTTAAGCCATAGCAGATGTTTGCCATCTGTTGAAATGTGAAAAGAAAAAAAAAACTATTGTTTAGTACATATTTATTGATTTATTACGTTAACATATTGTTATCCATCTTTTGCTGCGGACATCTCTTCCAAGAGGTTGTGGGGGCCAAGTTTGGAAAACTGTAACTCAAATTGATAATCTCATAGAAACTTCAAATTGGCCACACTTGTGGAGCCTACTAGTCTGCACAAGAACATTTACCATTGACTTACAATGGGCATTGAAAATAAATAAGAAACGGTAATGGAAAAAGCATAGTAACCCCTTATTTTTTTCTGACAGACCTCACAGCTCCATAGCAACCTAATTGTTTATCCTAGTAACCAAAATCTCTGAAATCTTCTCCATATATGATATATTTAATATATGATAGAGACAGGTGGGTTGGTTTATGTTTCTCACTATGACAAAAACAACATTCTACTATGCCAGATAGCATAGCAACCAGGCTATTTACCATAGCATCCAATTTTGAATATCTGAACTTAGGAAAATAATAGACATGAGGTTGGTTTATTTTACTCATATTGATGGGGACATTATATTATGTCACTAACACCTCCATAGCAATCAGGCTACTTACTATAGCAACCAATTTGGTCTATCTCTATCTCAAATCAGACACATGGGGTTGGATTATTTAATTCATATTGACATGGGGAACATAATATTATGTCACTGACACCTCCATAGCAAGTAAACCTTATATGGTAGCAACCATCAGCAGATTTATATCTCAGCCTCGGAAAATAGGACTTGGTATATAGCACTCTTAGTAAGAAAGCAACCTTTTAATGACATAATTGATTTCTCCCTAGCAACCAGATTGTTTAACCTAGCAACCGCTATAAAAGCATTTTTTCAAGCCAACATTGAAGTTTGTGTGCTAACTTTTGCCATCTAGCTGGCATATATTATCAGGTTTTAGAGAAAAAGTATACAGCAACGTTGTATGTTTGTATTTTATTTGTGTTATTTTCAGGAATTTAACGACTAAGACCTGCCCCATGATTGTAAGCATAAGTGGCACGTACAAATGTACAGGGCTTACTGCTCTTCTCGAATCTGTCCAAGTGTTACCCTATGAGTGTGTTGAAGGGGAGGAAGGTGGGAGAGCAAGAGATTATCAGACTGAATCAATTGAGAGATGGAATTGAACAGCCTATAAGGAAGAATGCATATTGGATAATGAGGGGATGGCATACCATGCACTGATTTTTAGCACTCAAAATTCATTGGGGTGGAAAGTTTTCAAGAAACATCTGGTGGTGCTAAAATCACAGATAACGATGGTAAACCGTAAAAAAAATCCTATCATGTAGCCCCTATAAAATACCAGATGCTGAATCTTCTATTTTCATGTTATTAGGGCAAAAGACAGATTCAAATGAGTCGAGCGAGACAGAGAATCGGAACGAGTAAACATGCATAATACATCTGCTCATCCTACCTCCCACACACAATTACTCCAAAGATGTTGACACACCATAAAACAAGATCCTGTTTCTGTGTGTAGCTCTCCCAATTACAGAGTAACACTGGCCATGGTCTGAACCACAACTTTGCATTTCAGAATTTGCAGAAACCAGTCAAAAGCAGAAAATCCCAAGTTCATTATTGATTGTTTTCGTCATATATTTTTGGTATGCAACTGGTTAAATATAGACTGGCTGCTCGTTTTTACATGGCATTATGTAATTAGGGAAAAATAATAATAGAGGATGGTTGTTGTGAATGGAATTAGGTTCTACTCTGAGAGTTATTCTGAGTTTGACTGAACTTGCAGTCTTGTATAGCGAGACAATGAACTTGGCAGAAACTCTGTTGCTCATTACAACCAGTTCTGCAGAATTCCCTGCCTACACAAAAGAAAATGTTCTGGCCCGTCTGACAATGAATCTTTTAGGATTAATTGAGTCTATTCATGTTCAAACATATTCTTTTCTACTGTTTATTTAACATGAAACATGAATTTGCAAAGGCAATTTGCTTACTTTTATGGCCCATATCTGAAAGAAGAAATTTTATATTCTCCGTATGGAACTTGATTTTAGAGGTTTGCTAATGTGGTGGAATGTGAGGTTTCCAGCCTGCTCTATGCAAATAACAGCTAATTATGAGGGAAAGATGATTGTGAATAATATTTTTTGTACAATGCATGCAGTCAAGCTGAAGAGTTTTGTTGAAAAGGGAAGAAAGATTAACTTAAATATTAATGAAACATTGAACAAAAACAATGCTCTTTTTTGGTCTGTGCCAGGCTTCTTCAGTTACATTTACTCTCTCCCTACAGTAAGATTTAATCAAGGCATAAATCTGTTTAAACAGATTTAGTTTTATGTATATGTTGTACGTATGAGTTGTGAAAAGTCCACATCCATTTGATTCACCAATAAAAATGTGGGTCTTGCAGGACACCAAACTAGAATTGATGTGCAAGTTGATGTCATTTATGGCCTGATGTAACCTACCGTGTGGTTTCCCTAGTAACACCTTCATTTTGCAGCATTCGGTTCACATGTTCACAATACATGATACTGCTACATCATAGGCGTACTCTACCAGCCAACACTGTCCAGTTTAAAATTCAAAATAATGAATCATTTCTGGATAACTGATTTGCGAATCTTAGGCGCAGACAGAAAGGACTGTGATGTGTATTGAAAGCATATTTATGACGTGAAGTGACTCATAATTCAGATTTAAAAGACAAGTTCAACTTATGAAGGATCTCACCTGAAAGGCAAGACTGGGAAACGTTATTTTCTTCACGAGATGTGTTCAAATACATTTGCACTTGAGACAGAACAATTGAATTATATATTTTTCTCAGATTGGAAGTTCAGTAATGGGTCTGTTTTCTCTTCAGAATGCTCTACCACGTAGCAAACTACTAAGCTTGACCAGGCACTGAAGATTTAAACTTCAATATTTTATTAGAGCTGTCATAGGACTATAAATGACCACCGAAAAGCTCCCAGGACCTCACTTTGATGTCTTATCTAAGGGGCAGTGATTCCACTATGCTATGGTGTCCCCATTTCAACTCTTGGGCATTAAGACTCATTGAAAATAAGCAGCCCAAGGCTTAGGTCTGACACCAAACACAGCACCCCAAAAATATACAAAT